AGTGGTGGATTTTGGAGGGGGACGGGATCCTGGAGGGCTCGACTTCCTGCCCTTTTTTTTACCTCCGCGGCTGCGGCCTCGTCCTCGCCCTGCTCTCTGGGGAGCTGACTGGAGCTGCTGCCCCGGACTGGGGAGCTGCGCTTGAGACCTGGTCCAAGAGCTCTCGCAGCTGAGAGAGAGTGAGGCCTGGGGCTGTGGGAAAGCCCTGCTGCAGGAGCCGGGCGATGAGGAAGTCTGCCTCTGTTGATAAGCCGCTGTGGGGAGCCGAACCGGGATCGGAGACTTCCAGAGAAGGTTCGTGTTCCGAATTGTCCGAGTTGGACATCTTGAGCTAGTTGTTTCTTACGGTTTTTCTCACGAGAAGGAGTATTGTAGTACTACCATTGCGTGTGATCATCTGCAATGACAACTGACAGGGAGGAAGAGCAGGCATTTAAGGAATTTAGCATGTGCAGCAATTGGCTGCTGAGGGGTGACGCCCTCGTATTTAATGAGGGGGGAAGGGAGCCATAGAGTGACGTGTAAGTGACTCGTGTTAGGTCTTCCTTATTGAACTTGCGCTAAAGCTTTCATATAGGTGTAAGCAGGGGTAAAGTGCTATTTTTATAGGTGGTGTGTGGACCTAACATAGGGGGGTCCGTGGGCAAGCTCCCCCGGGAAGATTTATTTTTAAATATTGAAGTTAAAAGCATCAATCTGGTGCACTTTGAGAGCAAAATGAAGAGATCTATGGATACCTCTCTCAACACCCATTTGAAACAGAACTGTAAACAGATTTATTTATTTTTCTTTATGGATAGTTTACAAATCACCCTTTTAAACTTTATTATTTTTTTACTGTCATATAGTATTTCATACCTGTTTTTCATTTATTCTCTTATTTTTTTATAACTATAATGATCATATAAATGTGTGCCTCGGAAATAATTGTTTACATTAATCGTGACCAAAACGTTTGAGACCCACTGAGATAACTTAGACTAAAGATAACTATCTAAACACTGAGAGAGTCCTTTAGCTCACTGAGTCTCTCAGTCTGACAGGAGAGGACTCTCCTCCACCTTGTTGTTGAAAAAACTCCTTATATCCATTAGCGTAGCTCGCTAGCACCGGAAGCTTTAATGAACCACAAAGACCCAGACGTAATAGTACTGTACTGTATCATATTATTTTCGAATCAATAATTTTTTTAATTATGATTTTTGCCTGCAGCACATCTTTTTGTCCGTTCGGGTCTTGGAAGACCGGAAGCTGTGGGGTTCATAAAAACATGTTCTTACTCAATATCAAGCCACGATTATTGTTTTTATTTTAAACCGTATAATGTCAGACTTTTGTTGTCGTCTGTGAGGAAAATAAATGGGGCTCAGAGCCTCAAAATACTGAAATCTGTATTTTTTTAAATCTTTTTTTCCTTCTAATTTGTTATTCTCTTCTAAACACTGTTATTTACTCACCAATAACACACAATTATCCTTGTTTTTATTTATTTGTTTAATTCCATAATCTCTGGCTTTTTTGGCGTCCGTCAGGAACTGAATTTCAAAATAAAAATAACCGGAAACTCCTCCCTAAACTGAATGAAATGTTTAAGCATGGATGTAATCAACTGGTATATCCTAAAGATGTTGTTGAGAGCTTCATATGAAGTGAATACTTAAAACGAAAGTTAATTATAAATCATATATGATCAATTTTATTCTTGTATGAACCCATAATGAGAATGCTTCATATTTTAGGTTTTTCTATATTTACAGCATAAACAAAACAAAGTGGTTTGTTTGGGTTGAGTGTGTAAGGTCTATGATTTATGGGTGTCACTGATAAGGAAGAGGGCAGTTTATTCCCCTTTTTTCTCACAACAGATCACGGAGGGGGGCTCCTGCCTTAAACGAGAAACACATTGAGGCCTCAAAAATGGTTATGTCATAGCCAGAGTTGGGTGTAACGCGTTACACCCAACTCTGGTGTTTACAAAGTAACGCGTTACTGTAATAATATTACTTTTGTCGGTAACGGAGTAGTGTAACGCGTTTCTTTTATAATTTAGTAATCACACTACAGTTACTAACATTGCCCCGACACGCGTTACTTTGTTACTTTTATAAAATAATCACACTCACTGACAGACAAGAGGGGTTTCCGCCGCAGGTTTATTTACATGTAGGCCTAATCTGCGCGACTTGCGAGACCACATCTCCATGTGCAGTGCTGCATAAACATGGATGAGTCTTTTCATCTGTAAACTATGGAATGCCATTTAAGCCAATATTAAATAAATAAATATATACATAAATAATTAAATAAATACATATATATATAAATATGCCTATGAAATACATTATAAAATAAATAAATTAGGCAATACATATGTATACATGTACATTTAAATACACATTTATTTATTTCATGGGGCTTTTATTTCATAATGACACATTTATTTATTTCAAGAGACTTGTATTTCATAATGACTTATTTCAAGAGACTTGTATTTCATAATGACACATTTATTTATTTAAAGAGACTCGTATTTCATAATGACATATTTATTTATTTCAGATGACTTGTATTTCATAATGACGCGTTTCTTTATTTCAAGAGACTCGTATTTCATAATGACTTATTTCATGTGACTTGTATTTCATGATGAGACATTTCCATTCCTTATATGCAAATGAACGGGGCGTGGTTAGCTCACAGGTCCAGAGACCCAGACCAAAGCAACCGCACCACACTGACTACTCGAGAAGAGGAAGAAAATGGAGGAGAAGGACTATAAGGCAAACTACTAAATGAAAATAACAACATGGAAGACGTCGGTGGGCTCCAAGACTTAACTGGTTCTTATCTGGTCTTCTCTGGTCTTATCTGGTCTGCCCAATGCTGCTCTTCTGAGAGCAACCGCTCTGACAGCTCTCTCTAGTCTCTACTGGGAAACAGCTAAAAGTCCTTCTGGAGGTAAGCAACGCTACACAATTACACCCAGTCTGAGAGTAAAATATGTCTCGAAGGTTCGTTTTGCTTTCTTACAACGTTAAGTTAATGTTAACGTAACCTTACGTTTGCTAGGAGGCTATCGTTACGAGCTAGCTGTCTTAGCTAACAACAGTTAGCAGCTAACGTTTTCTGCAGTTTGTGTTGCCCCTGAAAAACGTGATGTAGTTATTTAAGGGTATGTTAAATTAACGTTATTTTACAAGTTGAGAGAGTTAAGTTGTGTTTAAAATCGTCAATGTAATGCACGTTAGAGGTTTTGTGTTGGACATGAAGTTAGCTAACGTTAGCTAACTCCACCAGGTTAGCATGTTAAGCTGTACTTTTTGTGTCAGCTAGCTTAATACAAAGAGGGGTTTTGTGCTTCATTGCAAACTTTTCTTTGTTAATCTACCTGAAACTGTAGGGACAGTTTGTTTCTACTCAACTATACAGACCATTGTTGAGGAGATGCAAAACATACTGTACATGAGTTGGGTCCAACATATACTTTGAGTAATGTTACTTTGCTGCTAAAAATGAAACATCATTATCAGATGAGGACATCACCAAAGTGTGTGAGCCTGTCAGGGGATTTGATCTGTTCTCTGCATGTCCTAAACACTGCTCTGGTATTACTTATCTTGTAACATGTAAGTCTCCCGCTCTTGTCATCTTTCAGGCTTTGCATTTGAACTCCTATGACTGGTTGCGGACTTGAAGGGAACGCCTTCCTGACATCCAGGAAAAAGGTGAGATTATAATACATTTGAATGCCAAAAGCAAGTTATTGTTTTTAACTTTTGAAATATGATTGTTTTGGGGCATTTCAGTTTTATTGGACAGGCAGTAGAGATCTACTGGAAACAGTGGAGAGGGAGGAGATGATATGCAGCATACGGCCCAGCCGGATGGTTGCTGCTCCGTGTGGAACGTGTCCTATCAGGTAAAGCACTTTGGTACCCAGTTATTTATGGTGTTGAGTTTGAATTTAGCTTTTGGAATGTAATTTCCAACTGTGCATTGTAAAGACTGAAAAAACAGCCTCAGGTTAAAGCTTGACATGATTTGGTCTTTTACTTAAGAAGTTTGTCCTCCTGTGTTGTCTTATTTCCTTATCTTTCTTTCAGGTGTAACATCTACCAATGGTTGTACATGACAGAGACCTCCTCTGCCTCTTTGCTGTCTTACTAGTCAATCCTTCTGATCAGGTCCTTTCCTAAATAGTGGTAAGTTTTACAGTTCAGTGTACGTTAATTTAGTAACTTAATGCTTTACCGCTGTTGAATAAATCCTATATTGCTAGTCATTTTATTAAAACTATGATTTGTAAACTTTTTGATTCCAATTACAATAATCTTTTTGTTATAATTGTAAAACATATCTTAACATCCATCAGCAATCAATACAACAAATCATCCAACACTAAATAGAAGAAATCTGGACCTATTTCTTTTTATACAGCAGCATGTTTTGGGACTGCTCATTGATGTCATCAAGAGCCATTGAGTCTACCTTTTGTAGTCGGCCTCTCAGAATGTTTATCATTTATTTGTTTTTTAACATTCCTATAATAATTAGTTTTTTTATTGTTTTGTTCTTTATTTTTGTTGTGAGAATCACTTTGCAATTATTGTGTAAGTGCTATATAAATAGTTATACTAATATTATTGTTGTTACTATTATTAATAATGTCTTCTTTGTTTTCTTTATTCATCGCTGCAGAAAGGATCATGCCAGCCCACATCAAACACCTGATCAAGAGCTTGTGAACCTCACTGCTGCAGACACCTGTGTGATATTCCACTCTGACTGGAACCCTCAAAATGACCTGCAGGTACAATATATATATATATATATATATATATCTGCTCTGTCCGTCCTAAAGATAGTTCAATAGGGCTACAACAACAGTCTTTCCGTTTATTCCCTCGGTTCTTTAAGTGTATATTTTCGCATTTAATGCTTAAAAACGTTGAACAGCAGCTGCACATGATGCTCTTTTGACCCCCCTCAAGCTCGGTGTCATCGTTTTGGCCAGTCTAAGGCGGTGGAGGTGTACCGTCTGATCACTAGAAACTATGAGAGGGAAATGCTGGATAAAGCTAGTCTGAAGCTCGGGCTGGACCGTGCCGTCCTGCAGAGCATGAGTGGGAACAACAACGGGGTGAGAAAAAGAAAATCTGTCATATTTCTAGATGCCAAGTCATTTTTGGGTCAGTCGCTGTTGCAGTACGCTTAGTTTATTTTCAAAAAGAGTTTTCTAAATCCACTTGTGTAAATGTCTCTCTGCGTCGCCTTTAGCCGGTCCAGCAGTTCTCCAAGAAGGAGATCGAGGACCTGCTGAGGAAAGGAGCCTACGCCGCCATCATGGACGAGAACGACGAAGGCAATCGCTTCTGCTAGGAGGACATCGACCAGATCCTGCAGCGAAGAGCCACCATCAACACTATCACCAGGTATGTTCTTAGCAGCACTAGCCACTTGCGCTTTGTGTTGGTAACCAAGTACTTGGTTATTTGAAATGTAATATTGATGATGTAATAATTAAAACTAGGGATGGGTACCGAGCCCCAGTATTAACGGGGCCCCGGGGCTGAATTATTAAAGACCGTGGTACCGTTAACGTCCAATGTTATCAATCTTTTTATCGTTACGGGAGACATTTAAAAAATAGATGTCATATGTATTATATCTACATAAACATTATATTGCAGTCTTACTGCAACTCCGTTTCTAATATGCAATAAGACTACAAAGTGCGTCTATGATTTATTTTCGATCTTTCCAATCCAGACGAGATCTCTCTCCCCTGTCGGTGTGCGAGGGGGTGGGGCAGTTTACACACAGAACCTGCTACATGCATGCAAGACACACACACACACACACACACACACGTGCGCACACAAACACATGGCGGAGAGAACTAAGCGCCCCGAGGGTAGTTATGTTACCCGTCTTGAGCATGGATGTTTAATAAGAACTGGATACAGCATCGGAGGAGGGGCCTCGTTCTTATATGAGAGCTGCTCATTGGCGCATGAAGTCAAAATGGCCCAACTTTTGAGAGAGCGAAACGTCACAGATTACCCGTCATGCCTGGCTGTCAGAGCAGAATAACCCGTTTGTGCGCTCACAGAGCATGCGCCCCTTAAGCCCCGCCCCCCGAGCACACACTCTCGGCTCACTAGAAAGAATGGAGAGAGAGAATAGATCTAGATTCGGCTTTTAGTGCATTTTACAACTTTAAGAACTTAATGATTCTAGGGCTATACAATAGTTCATACTGGGTAGTTTATTTAGTTTAAAAAAAAGTATCCACCGAGTTACAGACGTCTCTTTCCCAATGTTAGTCAATGGGAAAAAGTATTTCTGGGCCGGTCGACGTCACAGACTGATAAGGAAATTGTAGTACCGCCGTTTGGACACAACGAATATTTTCCTCAGAGTCCGGCACACTTCCTGGGGGCTTGGTCTTGAGGTGGAAAATGCTCGTTGCCAATAGTGCAATAAGAATTTAGCATGTAAGGGCGGTAACACAAGCTATTTGTCTAAACATTTAGCAAAAGTGCTCCACATTCAGACAGAGAAATGCACCGGGTTCGACTGTCTTTCTAGTAGCTCTGTAGCCCCATCCACGAGTAACGTTTCCACGTCAGGTATATATTATGTATGCTAGCAGCAACACACAGAGTTAACTCAATGATACAAACATGGGTTAATGATTAGAGGTAACTGAGTTATTTATTTTGTTAAAGTTACAGCTATTCTGTTTGCAGTTCTATCATCACATAATTGAATACGATTTGTTAAAACATTTTTGCTTCAAGCAGTGGCTGCACGAGAAAGACGTGGAGGACCAAGAAATGCTGGCCAGATTGGCAAAGACCGGAAGATACATAACAGAGAAGATAATGGATATTAACAAGAAAAATAAAAAAAATGTTTATAATTTCTTTGTTGCTGTTTACATTTTGAATTATATTTGTTATTTTTAAATCAAATGCATCTTTTTTAGATGATATATTTATTTAGATGTAGGTTTTTTTTGTAATATTATTGTATTAAGTATAATTTATTAAATAAAAATACTGTTATGAACACTATACAATGTCTTTATTTTGATAGTTACCAGAATACATTGTATATTTAATACTAACATAAGCTGGTGATAGATAAATGCTGGTATGCTGGTATGCCAGCAGACAAATATTTATAAAGACAGGGTATGGCTGGGGTAGGCTACACCCATACCAAGAAATGGCTTAGCCCCACCATGAAAAATGATGTTAAAGTAAGCAAAATAAAGTCCGCCAACTGGCGCGGAGTAAATTGCACAGACAGCAGTTAGTAAGATTGATTTCAGTAGCCACTTGTCTGGAAATACGGAAGACCAGAAACGGTTTTGAAAACTTTTGTCACGTAGTGATCGTCTTCTCAATAGAACATCTTTGATAATGTCTTCTGGCCAATCAGAATCAAGATAACGGCGTGGTGTTGTTGCAGGAAGTCCCGACGGAGAATACTTTTGCTGTAGTACAGGTAACACATAACTGGTACGCAGGTTATGTGCGTAATCTGAAATGCGTACCGTCACTTGTGTCACAAAGCACATTTGCGTACCGACGTACTTGTGAAGCTTTTCCAGAAGGCGGTTAGATCACCGGACGACAGAGTCGGTCTCCGTGTGCACAGACAGGGCTGCTGTTAACGTCGGTCTGTACAACGGAATTGTGCCAAAATTACGCCAACCGGCTGCGGAGGGAGACTCCTCCCTTCACTGGAGAACTGCGCTAAAACAGCTGATCACAACGTTCACACTCTGTGGTCACGAAGTACTCCACTCCACTAGCGCCCCCCGTCGACTTTCCTTAAGTTTCCAAGTAAGATAGAAATCAATACGTAATGAATTAAGACCCCACGGTTTGATGATTGATAGGTGCTCTCTTTCATTTTGACACACAGACATTTTTTACAATAAACATGTTAAATGGATATATCCGCCTTCTTTCATTTATCTTTCCATTCCCACAACAATATACATAAAGAAATGACATATTTTGGACATAGTTCGAATGGTGATTAATCATGATTAATTAATTTTTAAGCTGTGATTAATCTGATTAAAAATTGTAATCGTTTGACAGCCCTAATTTATTTATTTTTGGATTAGATCATAGATACGTCCATGAGTTAAGAGATGGAATGATATGATGATTCACACTCATGTACAGTAGGTGGCGGTGTCAGTACCAGATATGTTCGGGCTACCAGATATGTTCGGGTGTATTTCCGTCGCATCCGTCATCCGTCATATTCATCATATTTTACGGCAACTCAAGAGGGCCATCACGGTCAAATTCCGAACATTTAAACATAGCCGACACTTCATTCTTTACTTTGTCCGTTATTATATGTAGAAGATTATACTTTACTCCGTCATGTTGTTTCCTTAGCAACAACTTCAAACAGGCATAGCCTACACCTCATTCTTTACTTTGTCCGTTATTATATGTAGAAGATATTAATTTGTTCTCCGTCATGTTGTTTCCATAGCAACAACTTCAAACAATAACAACTACCCGCTAGCCGCAAAGCTAGCATCACAGCCACTGCTCCGTTTTCGGAGACTTTGCACACGTTTTTCACAAACATTTTCACACGCTAGGAGTACTTCCAATAGCTTCGTCTTGATCTGTAGATGTGATTTGATGTGTCGTGTCCCCCCCAACTCCTCTCCAAAGTTCAGATATTTAATAAAATACTCAGGGGAGTTTCCTGAATTTTCATGCCCAAAGCCAAGCACTAGGCCCTGGGTAAATTAAGAGGCTGATCTCGGGCACTTTTGTCCACTTTCCCTGGTGGCCGAAACTCAAGCCAGACATCCATGGAATCGTCTCAGAGAGTAGTTGATCAGTGGGGCCTTGTTTTTACTGAATGATGTGTTTTTTTATGGGGAATTCAAATATGAGCTTATTTTTAGGATTTTCGGAGACTTTGCACACGTTTTCACAAACATTTTCACGCTAGGAGTATGGGAGTACATCCATTCGCTTCGCCTTGATCTGTAGATGTGATTTGATGTGTCGTGTGTCTCCCAACTCCTTTCCAAAGTTCAGATACTATATAAAAATACTAAAAGGTAAATAAAACATTAAACATAATGACAAAATAACAACCTGAAATATATGTATTCTATCTACACATTTCGTAATTATCTAATCTAGTGGCCTTATAAAAGTGTTGGCTAAAGTAACGCAGAATATATATATTTTTTAATTGTAAATAATTAGAAACATTATTTATGTGCACAAGTACATGGGACACCACCATATAACAAGCTGTCCCGAGTTCCTCCGGCTGCAGTTCCGCAGACGGCCGGTGTGTGGCAGCAGAGCAGAGGGAGGTGAGTATATGACGGATATGACGGATGACGGATGCGACGGAAATACACCCGAACATATAGCGGTCACTGATAGCGGTATGCACCTTAAAGTTGTTTGCAATCCGCCAAAAAACCGAGAGAAGAAGAAGTCAACTGGTTTGCCAACGGACAATTTACACCGAAGAAGAAGAAGCGAACATTTCTGGCGGGTGAAATTTAGAGTATCAGATTACATGCGATGTCTGACTCTGAGAATTTAGTAGTTTGCCTTATAGTCCTTCTCCTCCATTTTCTTCCTCTTCTCGAGTAGTCAGTGTGGTGCTGTTGCTTTGGTCTGGGTCTCTGGACCTGTGAGCTAACCACGCCCCGTTCATTTGCATATAAGGAATGGAAATGTCTCATTATGAAATACAAGTCACATGAAATAAGCCATTATGAAATACGAGTCTCTTGAAATAAAGAAACGCGTCATTATGAAATACAAGTCATCTGAAATAAATAAATATGTCATTATGAAATACGAGTCTCTTGAAATAAATAAATGTGTCATTATGAAATACAAGTCTCTTGAAATAAATAAATGTGTCATTATGAAATACAAGTCTCTTGAAATAAATAAATAAATGTGTCATTATGAAATAAAAGGCCCATGAAATAAATAAATGTGTATTTAAATGTACATGTATACATATTTATTGCCTAATTTATTTATTTTATAATTTATTTCATAGGCATATTTATATATATATGTATATATTTAATTATTTATGTATATATTTATTTATTTAATATTGGCTTAAATGGCATTCCATAGTAAACTCCCTCAACGGGGCCGCTCGCTCTCTTTTGTTGATCGCCCTCTCACGGGTGAACAGTTCAATGTCCCGCTTCATTGTAGGAATTCTGTCTCTACCACTTTAGTTTGACCATCTCTGTTACTAAGTTATGGAATACTAAATAAATAAGTAATTAGATACCTTACCGTTACTGCGCTCATAAAGAATGATAAGAATAATGCGTCTTGAACTGGTTTCATTCATTAGTGTCTTGACGTTTCACAGACTGTTAACTTGTTGTGTGGCTGGTAGCCTATTTGAGAGCATATAAAAAGAAAGACTTGTGTTATGTCTTCCTTAATGCAATAGTAATTGGGGGTGCAAGTGGAGTCTCGCAGAGGCAAAACTGTGGCGCGCACACTGTAGGTGCACCGCAGTCTGCGTGATCTGCCTGTAGGGAGGGGCGGGTCGGCCCTGCGAGTAAAGTAACGAGTAAAGTAACGAGTTACTTTATGTAGAGAGTAACGAAGTAGTGTAATATATTACTTTTTTTTAAAGTAATATGTAATATGTAATATATTACTTTTTTTTAGTAACGACCCCATCTCTGGTCATAGCTGAGAATAATATTTATCAAGTCCTACAGGGGTCATGTCCTTTTTACACAAACATGGGAAGGTGTGTCTTAGGCCATGACCAATGGAGGATGTTGGTTGGGGATAGAGGAGGTGTTTTTGGGGTTTCGATCCGGGTTTTTGAGCATAAAGAGACTGGTTTTTTGAGAGAGCGCGAGAGAGAGGGGGGGAAACCCCTGGTAGACTCTCTCCCGGTAGGCTGTGTCCTTGAGAGCTGGGTTAATAGCTCTCGGTAATGTTCTCTCAAACTTGGTGAATATCTCTGATATTTGTTGGTTGAAGGGCTGGGTAAAATGGCTCTCGGTTAGATCTATTCCGGAAGACGTTAATAGGATAACTTAAAAATAAACCTGTGCCCTCCTCTCCTGCTTCCAAGGTAAGACTGCACCCTGCCACACACACTTAGGTAGGAGCACACTCCATTTACTGATATCAAAATCCTTCGGGATCCCTTAAACAGATTAAAAAAGAGTTGTCTGAATTGAAACAGCAGTTAATTGAACCTAGGTTCTTCGGGAAGTTAATAGAGGTGAGATCTTGCTGACGTTGGTGGATCTGAGCCAAGCCGCAAACTTACATAGACTCAATAACTTCGGTCAGGTCAATTAGTAGGTCAGAGTAATTTACCGGAATAAATTATCAGGACCTCTCCGACTCTAAACAATGTCATGTTTTAATTCGGACTAAAGTAATGACTAGGGATGGGTATCGTTTGAAATTTATTGATTCCGATTCCGGTTCTGCTTATCAATTCCGGTTCTTATCGATTCCCCGTTTCGATTCCAAAATTGTAAAAGAAAGAGGTCAAACGTTTAGATAACAAAAATATCTTTATTCTTTTCAGCTTTAACTGAAATTGTTACAAATAAAAAATATACATGCAATACAAATGTATTGCACAATAGCTGTGCTTTATTTTAACTGAGCTATGCCTGTGGCAAGCTATTAACACTGTGCCCAATTGTCTTTTTATTTTTTAGTGTAGTGGAGCCTCACTTCAGAGCGTTTACCGCGACCCATCTTTGGTGTTATGAAGTGACTGAGCTCGTGAACTGTCTACGGGAGGGCGGGGGGAGCCTCGCTGCGGGGCAACTGTGGACCTCTGTCGCCTGTCAGCGCAACTTACATGTTGCCGTTTTAAAAAATTAAGGGCGGTGCCGGCCATCAGCGTACCGAGCCGGCCGTCAACGGCCCGCTGACGACCGGCCGTTCTGTGATTCTCCAGGTCCGCCCTGTATTCCACCGGGTCGCCGCGGTACAGACGGACCCGCTGGAATACAGGGTCTACCGCGTTTAGGAACCGTTAAGCAGAACCGAAAAGGTGTATTTTGTACGGGTACCCGGTACCCGGCATTTTCTTATCGGTTCTCATCTGGAACCGAGTTTCGGTTCCCAACCCTAGTAATGACACATTTTGATCTAAATGAGAGGACTACTGCCGCTGGCGGAGGAACTCTGTGCACCTGCAGCGGTGATCCAACGGAGGCGGAGTGATACGTTAACCTACAGTCTGAAACACCGGCTACGA